TGGCGAAATAAAGCCATTTATGGACAAAAGTTGGGGGTTATAATGATATTCATCTAGCAAGGGCAGAGATTGCTACAAGATGCTCAAAATGTGAACAGAAGGAATGGTGGCAAAAAAAAAAAAAAAAAATCAGTGGATGTACAGATTAAGGCTAGAGATGAGCGAATCGAAGTAGGCGAAGTGGAATTCGAGTCGAATATTGGAAAATTTTCGATTCGCGCCGAATCCGAAAAATAGCCTACTTCGGACGCGCGAATCGAAATTTTTCCTAAAATGGCGGCGGACATGTGCGGCGACGGAGCGGGGATGTCTGGGAAGGCGCGCAGACAAGGAGCGCTGACCCATAATGCATTCCTTAATGACATGTGATCGCATTAGCCAATCAGCAGCCAGCCAGCCAGCACTGTGTAATGGTCGAGCTATAAATAGCGGCCATTTTAGAATTCATTTGCCTCCAGTCATTCAAGAGAGGCAGACCGCTCTGTATTAGGGACAGAGCTAGGGCTACAGAAACGTTACTTGGGGACAGAGAAACGTTACTTAGGGACAGAGAAGCATTACTCAGGGACACAGAATTGTTAATGAGGGCCACAGAATCGTTACTTAGGGCCAAAGAAACGCTAGTTAGGGCCACAGAATTGTTACTCAGGGACAGACAGAATTGTTATTGAGTGCCAGAGAATTGTTACTTAGGGCCACAGAATTGTTACTTAGGGCCACAGAAACGTTACTCAGGGACACAGAATTTTTACTGAGGGCCACAGAACTGTTACTTAAAGCCACAGAAACGTTATTAGGGCCACAGAATTGTTACTCAGGGACAGACACAGAATTGTTACTGAGGGACACAGAATTGTTACTGAGGGCCACAGAACCGTTACTTAGGGCCACAGAAACGTTAATCAGGGACACAGAATTGTTACTGAGGGCCACAGAACCGTTACTTAGGGCCACAGAATTGTTACTCAGGACAGACAGAATTGTTTACTTGAGGGACACAGAATTGTTACTGAGGGCCACAGAACCGTTACTTAGGGCCACAGAAAACGTTACTCAGGGACAGACACAGAACTGTTACTGAGGGACACAGAATTGTTACTGAGGGCCACAGAACCGTTACTTAGGGCCACAGAATTGTTACTCAGGGACACAGAATTGTTACTGAGGGCCACAGAACTGTTACTTAGGGCCACATAATTGTTACTCAGGGACACAGAATTGTTACTGAGGGCCACAGAACTGTTACTTAGGGCCACAGAACTGTTACTCGGACAGACACAGAATTGTTACTCAGGGACACAGAATTGTTACTTAGGGCCACACAAACGTTAATCAGGGACACAGAATTGTTACTGAGGGCCACAGAACCGTTACTTAGGGCCACAGAATTGTTACTCAGGGACAGACACAGGTTACTCAGGGACACAGAATTGTTACTCAGGGACACAGAATCGTTGAATTAAAGAGTATGTCAGACAACATGCAGAGGAGTGGCAGAGGAGGCAATGTTTTAGGAGCGAGCAGCAGACGTGGCAGCAGAGGAAGGGGTCGAGGCAGCACTATTCGCAGCCAGAGGCCAGTGCTCTCCCGGTGTCATCCAGCGGTCGTGTCTCCACCGACAACCCTGCCGTCATCGATTGGTTGGCTCGGTCGTCTTCCTCTTCCCAGGTCACCTCTGACACCTACAGCCAACGGTCGGTGGGTACGTCAGACACAACCGTTAGTTGGCATGGCCCGGGACCAAGCCCACTGAAATCACGTGTCCTCTACCTGCCCCTGTCCTTTGGTGTTCCCTCACCAAGCGAAGTATCGCATGCTGTGGGCTCAGCCCCACTGTACAGTGAGGAAGAGCTAACAGAGGGCGGTCAGGAACGGGGGGAGACATCCGCCTTTTCAGCAGCCAGGCGAAGAAGTAGTGGCGAGGAGAGTGGCTCGGTAGCCGGTCTAGAGACAGGTCTGTCTCCTGACCCAGACGCAGCCGAGGGGGCTAGTAGTGAGGCGGAGACCCTACTTGATGATGAGGAGGTTGATCGCACTTGGCAGCCTCGTCGTCATCAGGCAATTTCTTCCGCATCATCAGGAGAAGAGGGTGGCAGCTTGGCAGCGAGCAAAACAGTCGGTGGGTTGCCCAGGAGGCAGCAGGGTCGCAGCAGTGTCAGTGGAGCCAAACGGCCACGGAGTAGAGCACCAGCTCCACTGCAGCCTACCACCACCACGGCCAGTAGTGGTGCCGGTGTGCACGGAGGAAGCAGCAGTCAGCCAGTGAGGAGTATCGGGGGCAAAGTTTCCTACTCGGCGGTGTGGCAATTTTTCGTCAAGCCGCCCGAGGAAGTAAACGTAGCCGTATGTCGACTATGTGGCCAGAAAGTCAAGCGTGGCCAGGGGGCCCATGTTGGGACTACACAGCGTTGCGGCAGCAGCATATGCAGCGTCGCCATTTGGTGGCCTGGGAAAACCGTGATAAAGATACGGCGGGTTCTGCCCGCCCCAGCCCCCGCTCCATCACCCGCTCCGTTACTTGCTCCGTCACCCGACGTCAATCGCCCTCCATCAGCCAGTCAAGGCTCCAACACCTCTGCTGAGGGGAGTTGTCGCTCGTTGGCATCTTCCGCTCGTTCAGATGCTCCTTCTCCTGCTACTCCTCTTCACGGATTCCGTCAGCAGTCTTTCTTGGAATCCGTTTCCAAGAGACAACAGTTTGCGAGCACGCACCCGACGGTGCAAAAGCTGAACGTCCTCCTGTCCAAGTTGCTGGTGCTGCAGTCCCTCCCCTTTCCAAGTGGTGGACTCAGCACCTTTCCGAGAAATGATGGCTTGTGCCGCGCCGCGGTGGAGAGTGCCAAGCCGTCATTTCTTCGCCAAAAAGGCAGTGCCAGCCCTGCATTCACATGTAGAAGAGATGGTGGGCCAGTCTTTGAGCATGTCGGTCTCTGCCAAAGTGCACGGCAGCGCCGACGTGTGGAGCTGTAACTACGGTCAGGGACAGTACATGTCATTTACGGCCCACTGGGTGAACGTGGTGCCGTCACAGCCGCACCAGCAACTTGGACAGGTCACGCCGCTTTTGCCTCCACGTTTTGCACGTCCTTGGTCCACAAAAGATGTCCGCCTCTACCACCTCTTCTTCCGCCGTGTCCTCAGCCGCCCCCCCGTGCCAAGTCCCATTACCCGACCGGCATATCACATGTGCAGGGCGCAACGGTGTCACGCTGTGCTGCACCTGGTATGCCTTGGCGAACGTAGTCACACAGGGGAGGAACTTCTGAGTGTAATGAACAGAGAAATCGACAGATGGCTGTCTCCGCGCAAACTGAAAATCGGAACCATGTTGACCGACAACGGAAAGAACATGGTGTCTGCTCTGCGTCAAGGAAGGTTGTGCCATGCGCCATGCATGGCTCACGTGTTCAATCTGGTTGTCAAGCGGTTCCTAAAATCCACCATCCCACTGCAAGACATCCTTAAAATGTCACGTAAACTTTGCATGCATTTCAGCCATTCCTACACCGCAAAGCACACCCTCCTTGAGCTGCAGCGGCAGAACGGAATTCCACAGCATCGCCTGATCTGCGACGTTGCAACAAGGTGGAATTCAACCCTACACATGTTAGACCGCCTTTTTACAGCGAACAGCGAAAGGCCATCACCGATTTCCTGATGTTACAAGCGGATAAAGGTACTCCCCTGTGTAACTTCGATGTCAGCCATTGGCAGCTCATGCGTGACACCTGCCGCTTGCTCAGGCCCTTTGAGGAGGCCACGCTATTCGTGAGTCGGCAGGACTATGGGATGAACGACGTCATTCCTCTGTTGCACGTCCTGGAACAAATGCTGTTAACAATGGCTGGTCAGGGTGCGGTAGACGTGGCGCACAGATCTCAACGCCACATGACCCCTGTGGGGGCAGGACAGGAAGAAGAGGAGGAGGTAGAGGAGGACATTTGTGCTCAGGAATTATTGAGTGAAATGGGTGGTTTTTCCACTCAGCGGACAGGAGTGGAGGAGCAGGAGCATCTGGTAGAGGAGGAGGAGGAGGAGACAGAGGACCCAGACGCACCGTGGCAGTATGCTGTGGAGATGGAGGCAGGGAGTCCCTCGCATTCCTTGGCACAAATGGCCCATAGCATGCTCGGTTGCTTGCGTAGCGACAGCCGAATAATAACCATCAGACAGAGGGATGACTTTTGGCTGTCCACCTTGTTGGACCCTCGCTACCGTTCAAAAATGGTGGCCTTTTTCACACCTGCTGAGAGGGAGGCCAAAATAACGTACTATAAAAACCACCTATGTAGTCAGTTGGTCTCTGCCTTTGTGCGCCAACGTCCATCCTCAGACACTGTGGGCCCTGTGCGCTCGCGTTCCGCTGCCATGGCAGCAGGGGAGGGGTGGGGTGGTAGGAGCAGTGGCAGCTCCACCAGCAGCGGCTGCCTCAGTCTGCAGTCGATGATGAGTAGCTTTCTTCACCAGCGCAGTGAGGAAACTACTAACCAGCCGCAGCAGCAGCAGCAGCAGCATCAGGTGGACCTGGAGCAGGACCTCAAACAACAGGCTTTGGGCCTACTTGGACAGCACCCTGCCAACCGAGGTAGACAATCCCCTTGACTACTGGGCAACGAAACTTGACCTTTGGCCCCAACTAGCTGAATTTGCCCTTGAAAGGCTGTCATGCCCGGCCAGTAGCGTGGCATCGGAGCGCGTGTTTAGTGCGGCAGGAGGTATTGTAACTCCGCGGAGGACACGACTGTCCACCCAAAGTGTGGAGAGACTCACGTTTGTGAAAATGAATCAGGCGTGGATTAGTCCCTGGATTTCAAACCACCAGTTCCTGACACAACTGACTAAATCCGCCATGAATCATGCCTCAAACATGTGCCACTTTCAGGTCTCCTCACACACTGCTGGTGTGTTCCATTTTTTGTCATAGGGTGCTGGCAGATTACGGGCCTCCCATAGCTGCTGCCAGGCCCCTAATCTGCCATGGGCCCCTATATACCGCCTCCTCATGCTGCTGCCAGGTCCAGAGAGTCTCTCATGGGTCCCTGTACGGCCTCCCATTGCTGCTGTCTCCATCGCCACACTCTGCCATGTGCCACTTTCAGGTCTCCTCACACTGCTGTGTGTGTGTTTTTTTGACATAGGGTGCTGGCAGATTACGGGCCTCCCATAGCTGCTGCCAGGCCCCTAATCTGCCATGGGCCCCTATATACCCCTCCTCATGCTGCTGCCAGTCCAGAGTCTCTCATGGGTCCCTGTACGGCCTCCCATTGCTGCTGTCTCCATCGCCACACTCTGCCATGTGCCACTTTCAGGTCTCCTCACACTGCTGGTGTGTTGAATTTTTTGACATAGGGTGCTGGCAGATTACGGGCCTCCTATAGCTGCTGCCAGGCCCCTAATCTGCCATGGGCCCCTATATACCGCCTCCTCATGCTGCTGCCTGCCAGGTCCAGAGTCTCTCATGGGTCCCTGTACGGCCTCCCATTGCTGCTGTCTCCATCGCCACACTCTGCCATGTGCCACTTTCAGGTCTCCTCACACTGCTGGTGTGTTGAATTTTTTGACATAGGGTGCTGGCAGATTACGGGCCTCCCATAGCTGCTGCCAGGCCCCTAATCTGCCATGGGCCCCTATATACCGCCTCCTCATGCTGCTGCCAGGTCCAGAGTCTCTCATGGGTCCCTGTACGGCCTCCCATTGCTGCTGTCTCCATCGCCACACTCTGCCTCTGCCATGTGCCACTTTCAGGTCTCTCTCACACACTGCTGGTGTGTTGAATTTTTTGACATAGGGTGCTGGCAGATTACGGGCCTCCCTATAGCTGCTGCCAGGCCCCTAATCTGCCATGGGCCCCTATATACCGCCTCCTCATGCTGCTGCCAAGGTCCAGAGTCTCTCATGGGTCCCTGTACGGCCTCCCATTGCTGCTGTCTCCATCGCCACACTCTGCCATGTGCCACTTTCAGGTCTCCTCACACACTGCTGTGTGTGTTAAAATTTTTTGACATAGGGTGCTGGCAGATTACGGGCCTCCCATAGCTGCTGCCAGGCCCCCTAATCTGCCATGGGCCCCTATATACCGCCTCCTCATGCTGCTGCCAGGTCCAGAGTCAGTCATCTCATGGGTCCCTGTACGGCCTCCCATTGCTGCTGTCTCCATCGCCACACTCTGCCATGTGCCACTTTCAGGTCTCCTCACACACTGCTGGTGTGTTGAATTTTTTGACATAGGGTGCTGGCAGATTACGGGCCTCCCATAGCTGCTGCCAGGCCCCTAATCTGCCATGGGCCCCTATACCCTCCTCCTCATGCTGCTGCCAGGTCCAGAGTCTCTCATGGGTCCCTGTACGGCCTCCCATTGCTGCTGTCTCCATCGCCACACTCTGCCATGTGCCACTTTCAGGTCTCCTCACACTGCTGGGGTGTGTTGAATTTTTTGACATAGGGTGCTGGCAGATTACGGGCCTCCCTATAGCTGCTGCCAGGCCCCTAATCTGCCATGGGCCCCTATATACCGCCTCCTCATGCTGCTGCCAGGTCCAGAGTCTCTCATGGGTCCCTGTACGGCCTCCCATTGCTGCTGTCTCCATCGCCACACTCTGCCATGTGCCACTTTCAGGTCTCCTCACACACTGCTGCTGGTGTGTTGAATTTTTTGACATAGGGTGCTGGCAGATTACGGGCCTCCCATAGCTGCTGCCAGGCCCCTAATCTGCCATGGGCCCCTATATACCGCCTCCTCATGCTGCTGCCAGGTCCAGAGTCTCTCATGGGTCCCTGTACGGCCTCCCATTGCTGCTGTCTCCATCGCCACACTCTGCCATGTGCCACTTTCAGGTCTCCTCACACACTGCTGGTGTGTTGAATTTTTTGACATAGGGTGCTGGCAGATTACGGGCCTCCATAGCTGCTGCCAGGCCCCTAATCTGCCATGGGCCCCTATATACCGCCTCCTCATGCTGCTGCCAGTCCAGTCTGCTCATGGGTCCCTGTACGGTCCCATTGCTGCTGTCTCCATCGCCACACTCTGCCATGTGCCACTTTCAGGTCTCCTCACACACTGCTGGTGTGTTGAATTTTTTGACATAGGGTGCTGGCAGATTACGGGCCTCCCATAGCTGCTGCCAGGCCCCTAATCTGCCATGGGCCCCTATATACCGCCTCCTCATGCTGCTGCCAGGTCCAGAGTCTCTCATGGGTCCCTGTACGGCCTCCCATTGCTGCTGTCTCCATCGCCACACTCTCTGCCATGTGCCACTTTCAGGTCTCCTCACACACTGCTGGTGTGTTGAATTTTTTGACATAGGGTGCTGGCAGATTACGGGCCTCCCATAGCTGCTGCCAGGCCCCTAATCTGCCATGGGCCCCTATATACCGCCTCCTCATGCTGCTGCCAAGTCCAGATCTCTCATGGGTCCCTGTACGGCCTCCCATTGCTGCTGTCTCCATCGCCACACTCTGCCATGTGCCACTTTCAGGTCTCCTCACACTGCTGGTGTGTTGAATTTTTTTGACATAGGGTGCTGGCAGATTACGGGCCTCCCATAGCTGCTGCCAGGCCCCTAATCTGCCATGGGCCCCTATATACCGCCTCCTCATGCTGCTGCCAAGTCCAGAGTCTCTCATGGGTCCCTGTACGGCCTCCCATTGCTGCTGTCTCCATCGCCACACTCTGCCATGTGCCACTTTCAGGTCTCCTCACACACTGCTGGTGTGTTGAATTTTTTGACATAGGGTGCTGGCAGATTACGGGCCTCCATAGCTGCTGCCAGGCCCCCTAATCTGCCATAGGCCCCTATATACCGCCTCCTCATGCTGCTGCCAGGTCCAGAGTCTGTCATCTCATGGGGTCCCTGTACGGCCTCCCATTGCTGCTGTCTCCATCGCCACACTCTGCCATGTGCCACTTTCAGGTCTCCTCACACACTGCTGGTGTGTTGAATTTTTTGACATAGGGTGCTGGCAGAGATTACGGGCCTCCTATAGCTGCTGCCAGGCCCCTAATCTGCCATGGGCCCCTATATACCGCCTCCTCATCTGCTGCTGCAGGTCCAGAGTCTGTCATGGGTCCCTGTACGGCCTCCCATTGCTGCTGTCTCCATCGCCACACTCTCTGCCATGTGCCACTTTCAGGTCTCCTCACACACTGCTGGTGTGTTGAATTTTTTGACATAGGGTGCTGGCAGATTACGGGCCTCCCATAGCTGCTGCCAGGCCCCTAATCTGCCATGGGCCCCTATATACCGCCTCCTCATGCTGCTGCTGCCAAGTCCAGAGTCTCTCTCATGGGTCCCTGTACGGGTCCATTGCTGCTGTCTCCATCGCCACACTCTGCCATGTGCCACTTTCAGGTCTCCTCACACTGCTGGTGTGTTTGAATTTTTTGACATAGGGTGCTGGCAGATTACGGGCCTCCCATAGCTGCTGCCAGGCCCCTAATCTGCCATGGGCCCCTATATACCGCCTCCTCATGCTGCTGCCAGGTCCAGAGTCTGTCATGGGTCCCTGTACGGCCTCCCATTGCTGCTGTCTCCATCGCCACACTCTGCCATGTGCCACTTTCAGGTCTCCTCACACTGCTGGTGTGTAGAATTTTTTGACATAGGGTGCTGGCAGATTACGGGCCTCCCATAGCTGCTGCCAGGCCCCTAATCTGCCATGGGCCCCTATATACCGCCTCCTCATGCTGCTGCCAGGTCCAGAGTCTGTCATGGGTCCCTGTACGGCCTCCCATTGCTGCTGTCTCCATCGCCACACTCTGCCATGTGCCACTTTCAGGTCTCCTCACACACTGCTGGTGTGTTGTTGAATTTTTTGACATAGGGTGCTGGCAGATTACGGGCCTCCTATAGCTGCTGCCAGGCCCCTAATCTGCCATGGGCCCCCTATATACCGCCTCCTCATGCTGCTGCCAGGTCCAGAGTCTCTCATGCCATGTGCCACTGTCAACGGTCTCCTCACACTGCTGGTGTGTCCATCGCCACATTTTTTGCCATAGGGTGCTGGCAGATTCACGGTCTCCTCCACATAGCTGCTGCCAGTGTGCCCCTTTTCTGCCATACGGGCCTCCCATAGCTGCCCCTAATGCCGGGCCCCTCCTCATCATGCTGCTGCCAGGTCCAGAGTCTCTCATGGGTCCCTGTACGGCCTCCCATTGCTGCTGTCTCCATCGCCACACTCTGCCATGTGCCACTTTCAGGTCTCCTCACACACTGCTGGTGTGTTGAATTTTTTGACATAGGGTGCTGGCAGATTACGGGCCTCCTATAGCTGCTGCCAGGCCCCTAATCTGCCATGGGCCCCTGTACCGCCTCCTCATGCTGCTGCTCTCATGGGTCCCATACGCCACACAGCTGTCTCTGCCATGGCCACTTTCAGGTCTCCTCACACACTGCTGGTGTGTTGAATTTTTTTGACATAGGGTGCTGGCAGATTACGGGCCTCCTATAGCTGCTGCCAGGCCCCTAATCTGCCATAGGCCCCTATATACCGCCTCCTCATGCTGCTGCCAGGTCCAGAGTCTGTCATGGGTCCCTGTACGGCCTCCCATTGCTGCTGTCTCCATCGCCACACTCTGCCATGTGCCACTTTCAGGTCTCCTCACACTGCTGGTGTGTTGAATTTTTTGACATAGGGTGCTGGCAGATTACGGGCCTCCATAGCTGCTGCCAGGCCCCTAATCTGCCATAGGCCCCTATATACCGCCTCCTCATGCTGCTGCCAAGTCCAGAGTCTGTCATGGGTCCCTGTACGGCCTCCCATTGCTGCTGTCTCCATCGCCACACTCTGCCATGTGCCACTTTCAGGTCTCCTCACACACTGCTGGTGTGTTGAATTTTTTGACATAGGGTGCTGGCAGATTACGGGCCTCCCATTGCTGCTGCCAGGCCCGTAATCTGCCATGGGCCCCCGTACCGACTCCTCATGCTGTGACGTTGCAACAAGGTGGAATTCAACCCTACATATGTTAGACCGCCTTTACGAACAGCAAAAGGCCATCACAGATTTCCTGATGTTAAAAGCGATAAAGGTACTCCCTGTGTAACTTAGATGTCAGCCATTGGCAGCTCATGCGTGACACCTGCGCTTGCTCAGGCCCTTTGAGGAGGCCACGCTATTCGTGAGTCGGCAGGACTATGGGATGAACGACGTCATTCCTCTGTTGCACGTCCTGGAACAAATGCTGTTAACAATGGCTGGTCAGGGTGCGGTAGACGTGGCGCACAGATCTCAACGCCACATGACCCCTGTGGGGGCAGGACAGGAAGAAGAGGAGGAGGTAGAGGAGGACATTGGTGCTCAGGAATTATTGAGTGAAATGGGTGGTTTTTCCACTCAGCGGACAGGAGTGGAGGAGCAGGAGCATCTGGTAGAGGAGGAGGAAGAGGAGAGACAGAGGACCCAGACGCACCGTGGCAGTATGCTGTGGAGATGGAGGCAGGGAGTCCCTCGCATTCCTTGGCACAAATGGCCCATAGCATGCTCGCTTGCTTGCGTACCGACAGCCGAATAATAACCATCAGACAGAGGGATGACTTTTGGCTGTCCACCTTGTTGGACCCCTCGCTACCGTTCAAAAATGGTGGCCTTTTTCACACCTGCTGAGAGGGAGGCCAAAATAACGTACTATAAAAACCACCTATGTAGTCAGCTGGTCTCTGCCTGTCTGCGCCAACGTCCATCCTCAGACACTGTGCCCTGGCCCTGTGCGCTCGCGTTCCGCTGCCATGGCAGCAGGGAGGGGTGGGGTGGTAGGAGCAGTGGCAGCTCCACCAGCAGCAGCTGCCTCAGTCTGCAGTCGATGATGAGTAGCTTTCTTCACCAGCGCAGTGAGGAAACTACTAACCACCCCGCAGCAGCAGCAGCAGCAGCATCAGTGGACCTGGAGCAGGACCTCAAACAACAGGCTTAGGCCTACTTGGACAGCACCCTGCCAACCGAGGTAGACAATCCCCTTGACTACTGGGCAACGAAACTTGACCTTTGGCCCCAACTAGCTGAATTTGCCCTTGAAAGGCTGTCATGCTTGGCCAGTAGCGTGGCATCGGAGCGCGTGTTTAGTGCGGCAGGAGGTATTGCAACTCCGCGGAGGACACGACTGTCCACCCCAAAGTGTGGAGAAACTGACGTTTGTGAAAATGAATCAGGCGTGGATTAGTCTGGATTTCAAACCACCAGTTCCTGACACAACTGACTAAATCCGCCATGAATCATGCCCCAAACATGTGCCACTTTCAGGTCTCCTCACACACTGCTGGTGTGTTCCATTTTTTTTTGTCATAGGGTGCTGGCAGATTACGGGCCTCCCATAGCTGCTGCCAGGCCCCTAATCTGCCATGGGCCCATATACCGCCTCCTCATGCTGCTGCCAGGTCCAGAGTCTCTCATGGGTCCCTGTACGGCCTCCCATTGCTGCTGTCTCCATCGCCACACTCTGCCATGTGCCACTTTCAGGTCTCCTCACACTGCTGGTGGGTTCCATTTTTTGTCATAGGGTGCTGGCAGATTACGGGCCTCCCATAGCTGCTGCCAGGCCCCTAATCTGCCATGGGCCCCCGTACCGACTCCTCATGCTGCTGCCAGGCCCGTAATCTGTCATGGGCCCCTGTTGTCGCTTGTTGGCATATTCCGCTCGTTCAGATGCTCCTTCTCCTGCTACTCCTCTTCACGGATTCCGTCAGCAGTCTTTCTTGGAATCCGTTTCCAAGAGACAACAGTTTTGCGAGCACGCACCCGACGGTGCAGAAGCTGAACGTCCTCCTGTCCAAGTTGCTGCTGCCAGGCTCGTAATCTGTCATGCGCCCCCCTGTACCGCCTCCTCATGCTGCTGCCAGGTCCAGAGTGTGTCATGGGCCCCCTACCGACTCCTCATGCTGCTGCCAGGCCCGTAATCTGTCATGGGCCCCTGTACCGCCTCCCCATGCTGCTGCCAGGTCCAGAGTGTGTCATGGGTCCCTGTACGGCCTCCCATTGCTGCTGCCAGGCCCGTAATCTGCCATGGGCCCCCGTACCGACTCCTCATGCTGCTGCCAGGCCCGTAATCTGTCATGGGCCCCTGTACCGCCTCCTCATGCTGCTGCCAGGTCCAGAGTGTGTCATGGGTCCCTGTACGGCCTCCCATTGCTGCTGTCTCCATCGCCACACTCTGCCATGTGCCACTTTCAGGTCTCCTCACACTCCTGCTGGTTTCCATTTTGTCATAGGTTGCTGTATGGCCTCCCATTGCTGCTGCCTCCACCGCCACACTGTGGCTCCAAACATTGGTTTTGGCCCCCGTGACTGGCCAAATGAGTGAAGTGTGCGGGTGATTCTAAGATCGACGGCACTCATCTGCATGTCATACTGACTGACAGTATTATTTCTCTTCCCCAGCAGACTCCAAGGGCATTTAAATTAAAGGTACAGTGTTCTGCACTAATATTAAGTCTCTCTGAAGCCTAGAAACACCCTTTTTTAAGTTAAATTCACAGCGAATATATTCGACTCGAATCGAATATTGTCCACGAATTCGCCGAATCAGTCGAATCGAATTTTTGAATACTTCGCTCATCTCTAATTAAGGCTCCAAAACCCCCTGTAACAGCTGAGCTGCTCAGTATTGAGCCCCTTAGGTGCTAGTGCCAACCTGAAAATCCACTCCTCCTCCTTCCGCAAAAAGTCCATACCTAAATCACCTCAGCAGCTG